CTGTGTCAAGAACCATCTGGATAATATGCATAAGCCCAGAAGTGTCAGCACCATACTGAGTGATGCTGAGAGTCGGGTTGGTAAGACGGTGCCGTACGATGTCTTCCAATACAACTGTGAGCATTTTGTGACAGAGCTGAGGTACGGCAAGCCAAAGTCCCGACAGGTGGGTGTCTGATTCAGTGCTTTCTGAGACAATAACACCTCTCTGTGAGTGTGTGTGTGTTTGTGTGTGTGTGCGTGTGTGTGTGCATGTGTGTGTAATCAACTACACAAGACTGAAGTCATACTTTAGCTAGAAAAGATGCTGTCAGAACAACAACAATGTATGTATTCCTCAGGTTTATTTGACACCTAAACACATACAGGCTGAAAATAATGGATTGGGGGAGGGGGTAACTTAACATGGAGACAAGGTTCAGGGCAGCAGGAACACTAACTACAAAGGCAGACAGACCTACAGCACCAACACTGAACTCCAAAGTGACTGACATCTCCATCAAAAGCTACAGTGATCGAACTGGGGAAGGTGGCATAAGCAGGCACATATATACACAGATAACAAGGAGTCAAGAAGAAGCAGGTGTGAGTGATTGACACATTAGGGCTGGAAATAACAAAGCATATGGGAGTGATATGGGTTGGCCAGTGACATCTGCTGTCCAGACAGGAACATGACGGGGCTGACCAGGACAGATCCTGGCAAATGTCCATATGTTGAAATTAAGGACGCACAATCCCACTTTTTCAATCCTGTTACTAATACTGTTGCCAGGGCTTTGGGAATTGGCGAGTACTAAGTATCGATCCGATACCAATGTTTAAGTTGTAGGTTTTGTCTCACTGTGTGGAAGAGACTGTGATCATTCTTTTATGTGTAAGGCAACATCAGACTTAACTTAAATAAAGCTTTCCTAACTTTGTAAAACAAAAATGTAACACATACGTGCATATAGGTATAATAAATATCAATTCACTAAATGTATGTATGTATATATCTATTTAATGTCACGACTTGGGTTCAGGGAAGGAACGGAACCTGGATTGCAGGAGACCAAGAGGTTTATCGTAATACCAAACAACCAAATCAAGACAGCAGGCAGAAAGAATAGTTGGGGTTGGAAGTTCTAAGGGTTTGGTAGCCAGATAGGTCAGTCCTANTATCTTGTCCTTTTATTAAACAAATTAAATAGCCTTATGTTATTTATCTTATGTACAGTTCATCGCTGTATTATGCTGAAACAACCGGACACGTTTTAAAACGAAATTTGCCGCCTGCCGTTCATGGGTTTTTCGTCAACAATCGTCTTATTTGCGTCGCTCAGTCACTAAGGTCTAAGGCGTTTCACGAGAGTGCAAGATGGCGCATTTTTAGCGTAAAATGCGGAAAAGGGTTTTCTCCGCAATAAATGTTTACTTTGTTTGTCCGTAATAAATGCAGACACACTCGCTTGCGTGCTCTCTCCCCCTGTCACATATGTGCATCAACATTAAATAACATTAGACAATTATTTAATAACATTCTTAGTAGCAGTAGTGATTTTGTAGCATACATTTGTTTTTTATGTGAGTTGCTGAAAACAACCTTTGTACAAAGACAGACTGGGTTATTAAAAATTGCTGGAAATCAAATTGGTCGCCCCCCCCCCCCCCGATTAATCGATTAATCGGAAAACTAATCGACAGATTGATCGATTATCAAAATAATCATTAGTTGCAGCCCTAATATGTACCATTAGTTAATCTATTGCAGTTCTTACTGTTACTTCATGGAAAATTCTGGTCATATTGCATAAGAGAAATAAATAGAATGTAAATATTTAAGCATATAAAAAATTTTAACAATAGAAATAAAATTTTCAGACATGGACATTTCAACATACACAACGGGACACAAGCAACTACCTAATTGGTGGGGAAAGATTCTGCAATTGCCATATAAGTGGAATGTGCAGTAAATTAAAAAGTGTAGTTTCAGACTCACGTGTCGGCAGAACTCAAAGCATTCAAGTAAAAACTCATTTATTAACCTTCACATTTCCAGGTGATCTGTCCAGTGCTAGTATGAATCATACAGGTTGGTGAGTGTGAGATGAATGCGGATTACATGGGCGGAGTGACGAACACAATGCTGTCATTTCTGACGGCCCCCCTTTCTGGTTTATTTATTTTTAAGGGGTAAAACTATATACAACATATTAGAAGAGGAAGTGTAGTATGCAAATTGCAATTAAACTGTATTTATGCTGTAAAGAAATGTTTTTGACCAAAGACTATAGAAGCCGACTCTGTCTCAGCTCTCTGTGCATGTCTGTGTGACTCTGCAGGTGCGTGATGCCGTGCAGACGGCTGTAGGAGTGGGAGCTGCTGCGATCGGTGTGGGTCTGCTGGCTGCAGCTGCTGTCACTATATTTGGTAGCGAGACGGAAGAGCGGAGGAACAGCCAGTGAGATGAAGCCCGACAGTGAAGGTGGAGGGTCAGCTGAAGCACAGACCTGCACAAACAAAGTGTGTCCCCACCCAGCCTGAATGACATCATGCTTCCTTACTGCTAACTGCTGAAGTATTTACTGGGAAATCTGTAAATGTGGGTCACTCTCAAAACCTTCTCAGATGACCTTCATATTCATTTTGATATTCATATTACTTGTAATGTAAGAAGAGATCTGCATTCTGATCATTTGGTATAATGATGACAATGATTTTGAGTGGAAATTAAAACCCTGATAATTGACTTTGTGTGATCTGACTAATCTTTTGTATCCTCTGGGTGTTTTATTGCTTAAATCAGTAAAATAAAGTAACTGCAGTAACTGGTCTGGCTGCTGTGATTTATTGTCAGTTTCTTTAAATGACGCGCTGGACTGGGAGAGCAGCACAGTAAATGTTCTTTATTATGGATGGGGTTCTACCATAGCCCACAGGATCAGGTTCCACATTTTAGGTTTTCAGGAGTCTTGGTTTGAGAACCACTCCAACTGAGCCACTCAACAGGTGTGTTCTGAATGTTGAGTGCATTACAAAATGTAGGTCTATATGAAATATTATGGTATTTGGCAGTTGCTAAAAATTGCACGATGATTCATGAAATGAAATTATAATTATATAATATAAACTAGATGTATTACTTACCAGTGATGAAGTGTTTGCTGCAGACAAACAAGTTTGCTATCTGGGTCCCATGTTTCCCCTCAGGGTCCCACTGAATAGCATGAAGCCATAAGATTGGCCTTTTGCTCTCTCTTTTCCTATTTGGTAGCAAGAACAGAATGTGTGGGTGTGTTTAATTATTGACGGTGCAGAACACAACAAGTATTACACCTGGTAAAAACCTCCATCCCCAACATTGGCCAGTCAATTTTACCGATTTGTGTTCATCGGAAAAAGGGAGTGTCACCCAAAACTACTTCAAGCTGATGACNCCAGCCTGAATGACATCATGCTTCCTTACTGCTAACTGCTGAAGTATTTACTGGGAAATCTGTAAATGTGGGTCACTCTCAAAACCTTCTCAGATGACCTTCATATTCATTTTGATATTCATATTACTTGTAATGTAAGAAGAGATCTGCATTCTGATCATTTGGTATAATGATGACAATGATTTTGAGTGGAAATTAAAACCCTGATAATTGACTTTGTGTGATCTGACTAATCTTTTGTATCCTCTGGGTGTTTTATTGCTTAAATCAGTAAAATAAAGTAACTGCAGTAACTGGTCTGGCTGCTGTGATTTATTGTCAGTTTCTTTAAATGACGCGCTGGACTGGGAGAGCAGCACAGTAAATGTTCTTTATTATGGATGGGGTTCTACCATAGCCCACAGGATCAGGTTCCACATTTTAGGTTTTCAGGAGTCTTGGTTTGAGAACCACTCCAACTGAGCCACTCAACAGGTGTGTTCTGAATGTTGAGTGCATTACAAAATGTAGGTCTATATGAAATATTATGGTATTTGGCAGTTGCTAAAAATTGCACGATGATTCATGAAATGAAATTATAATTATATAATATAAACTAGATGTATTACTTACCAGTGATGAAGTGTTTGCTGCAGACAAACAAGTTTGCTATCTGGGTCCCATGTTTCCCCTCAGGGTCCCACTGAATAGCATGAAGCCATAAGATTGGCCTTTTGCTCTCTCTTTTCCTATTTGGTAGCAAGAACAGAATGTGTGGGTGTGTTTAATTATTGACGGTGCAGAACACAACAAGTATTACACCTGGTAAAAACCTCCATCCCCAACATTGACCAGTCAATTTTACCGATTTGTGTTCATCGGAAAAAGGGAGTGTCACCCAAAACTACTTCAAGCTGATGACGTTACTCTGGGCTAGAATGTCAAATGTTGTCATACATAATGAATTCCATTTCAGAAAAGTGATTTTATTATTTCAGTTTATTTTGTATGTACAGATATACATAGTATAATTCATCCTATAAACCACGGCGGCCGCCTCCCTCTCTCCAGCAGACCTGCCTCTAAGCCCGGCCTTGGCCATGAAAAGCCACTCAGCATAAGGGAAGACACCATTACCCACACTGCCACAGAAAGGCTGACTGGATCCAACCCAGTTTGCTGGTTTCCCTGCTCAAACACATCGTAATCAGCTGATGATTACGTGAACTGGTGAACTTCAGATTGCAAGCACACAGGCTTAGCCCACTGAGCCATAAGCTGTGCCCCCTAATTAGCCCATTCATTCTACCCTTTGTACTTAAAATAGACACAATGCAATTAATACATTTATGTTGCAAATGTAAGGTAGCACCTCAACACTGACCAGGGAGTTTAATGCTGAAATGAGGAGCAGCTGGATAGTTAAGCCTGAAGTGGATTTTCTGCTCAACTAGCTGTTCCTTCAACTGAGACCACATCTCTCCAAAGGCCTCTCACAGCTTATGGTCTCCACCAACAAAACTGGTTCTGTTGTCACAAAGCAGGTGGAAAGACTGACCATTTCGTGCAATGAACCAAAGCAGGGAAAATAGAAAGGCATCTGTGTCAGGGCTTTCTACAAGATCTAAGTGCGCGTATCTTGTGATCATACACTTATTCACAAACCCCCATGTCTTCTCCTGGTGACGGCCATACTTCATGATGAATGGGCCAAAGCAATCGATGCCAGTGGAGTTGAATGGTGGCTTGTATAACCACACTGTACAGGGTGGAAGATCAGTCGTCTTTGGTACGTCAATATGACAGTCCCTACACGTGTGCTACTTTTTGCTGATAACTTAAAGGCTTGGGAGCACCCAAAACTGACAGTGCAGCTCTGCCAGCAGACTGGTCCAGGATGAAGCAGCTTGGTATCAAATTAGGAGCTTCATGGTGTGATGTGCTAGATCCAGAATGAACAGGTGAATAAGATCTGCTTCTAGACCCTCCACACTGACTCCGATTAGTCTGGTGATTTCATCATACTCTGGTGAGAGTGAACTCAGATGTCTGTCTGCAGGAATGGGCCACTTGGCCTTGAGAGCCTTTACTTCACTCAGGAATGAGTCCATTTGGGCCTGTGAAAGCAGAAGCTTCTCAGCAGTTATGTTTTCATCGGCATCATATGGTGGAGTGATACTTGGATCAGCTGTCTCACAAAGAACTCTCACAGAGTCCTTAAGAAGATTCTTCTAGGAGTGTCACTGATTAGCATTGAGACCTGAAGCCGTAGGGGCTACTGAAACTGTTCCCCTGAATAAAGACTTCTTCAGTTCACTCTGGACAGGCTCTGAAGTAGAAGTCAGCATAGCTGGTCAGCAGGCTAGAGCAGGAATTCTGGCCCTGCATTCATCTGAGTATCTGCAAGAGCAGCACTAAGTTCTAGGCGTGGCATCGACAAACACTTCTTGGGGGCGACTCAGGACCCAGCTTGGAAACAGCTGACATACACCTCACCAGTATCATCTGAGGTACAAATGTAGACACTGACCAGTACGCCTCCAATGAAGAATC